GTGTGCTCTTCCGATCTGTTACACATTGAGTTTTGAATTTTGAAGAGAGTTATTTTGAATTTTTTGATGGAACATATTATATTTTGTGGAGATTGAACGAGTGCATTGAACGAAAAAGTTATATTTAATATAAAGATTAGTACTTACCGAGATATTTGTAATACAAGCGTTATTAGGGATTGAAAATACATTGTTATTTTTAACTGTGTTGGTCACTGATTTTTGTTGGTAACTTGATTTAAAAAAAAATATCCGAGGAGGTCTTCTTTATTTTCTTCACTTAGACAGTTAGACTTAGACTGTTAACTACGATCTACTCCACTCTCCTTTTATTGCGATCTTTCTTTAAAAGACACCGTGACCGTCTTGTTGGAAAGAATTTTTTCTCCCACTTTTTTCTCTCCCCACTCCCATGTTGCATCTGTTATTTTAAAATTTTCATTGTAATTCCATTATCAGCTTATTAGCTTATCTTATCAATGCCGATTATGCTACACATTATGCTTAAAAAGAGCAATTTCATAATCGATGGCTTAAATATAGCAGTGAAAGGTCTTAGTGACTGTTGCGTATATAGTTGTTGCGTATATGTTAGTAGGCCCACTACGCAGTTCTATGCATTCCGCGTCGCCGAGCGAAGCAAACACGGCGGACAGATCATAAAGAAAGCATCCTTTTGAATAAATAGAGTAATAGCCGAGTTCGGCGCCAGCCTTATCGCACGACGTCGCATCCGACGTCGCATTCGACGTGTTTATTTAAAAACAAAGAAACCGGCAGGACCAACCCATGTGTCACGCATGACTCAGGATTGGCCCATGCTCGCCGAGAGTTTCCCTATATAAGGGACAGCCCCGATGGGCCGAGACAGATACGATTTTCGTAGCGAAGCGTACGCATAAGAAAACGTTAACCGAGTTCTCGTCGTGAGGCCGAGTCCTCTCGTAGAACCGAGGCCGAGTCCTCGCATAGAGGCCGAGTCCTCTCATATCATATTATCAACGCAACCGAGTTCGTGTATATATATATATATATATTTTTGGTGTATTAGACAAGTCTCAGTAATAAACATTTTTTAAAAAACTAATACGTGGAGTGACCTTCCCCGTATATACGATCCAGTGACCTTGTTTGCTATATGTTTGATTATTTCTTACCATGTGTTGAATTGTTTTCTTTGAGGAACAATGCAAACTAAAGTTAATTGTAAGCCACCAATAAGATATGCAAGAATGAACAGCATGTTTTTTTCATTTATACAAATGCTTGTATCAATTCAATTTAAGCAGCATTGTGTTTCTCTTTATGTTGTGTAACTTTTGCTCATAGTATTTGTCGTACAACAAATAATTTTCGAGTAATTTCATGTTATCAGAAGTGAATCATTTTATGTATAAAGTTCACTGGATAGCAATATATTTAATAGTCATTTTACGTATAAAGTTCCGCTTTTATTTCTTTGCATTTCGTGCTACTCTCTAAATCTGAATCAGTGGAAAAGTCAATGATTAAAGTAGGTAACGCCTTGTATTGCTAATAAATAAGTGAAACAACCGAATCCACTGTGCAATTAGCGAGTACAGTGAAGTCCAATGATTTGTCAGTGATTATAGCATTATTTATTAGTGATTTCCGAGAAACAATGCTTTCGATTTTAACGCTCGCGCGCTGTGAGCATGATTTGTCCTTGTTTGATATTTGATAAACAAAGTTTCGGGAACGCTATAAGCGTCAAAAGCGTGAAGTGAATACGGAACGCAGTCAACTCATGTGCGTATTGAATATTTATTATATTAATATACTTGGAACTGATGCATTCAATGAATAACTATAGATTAATCAGTGATTATCCACCGATTCAGATTTAGAGAGTAATTAATTAAAATGATAGACATATTATAATTCTCAAATTTATTCCCATAATCAGTATTTTATTATATTCACAACATTTACCTACGAATAGTTCGGAAAAAACAACAAAAAAATGTATCCATAAACGTGAATTCTCTCGGCGATGACATTATAAAATTAATAAAATATCTTAACTATCAAATATGCGATAGCGGCGCGCAATATACTTGAACTGAAAATTTGTGATTCACACAAAAATAATATTACCAAGCACCAAGATTCGCTTTAGACTGTATTTGGCCTTTTCTAATCTTGTTTTAATGATATTATATATCTTACATCGTAATGAAAGAACGATAAGAACTAATTAAAATGGCAATAAACATCCGGGACGTACAAACAGTAAATAGAATGAGCAGATCTTAAGTACTATTAGTACTTAACACACTTTGCCGACCATTTGAGTAAATCTCCCAGTTTCATAATCCATCACTGAACGACTAAAATCTGGGTTAAAAACAGATTTATCTGTTTACATCACGTCGTTATTCTCAATTTGAAAAAGCAGTAATAAAATTGAAATTGCAAGAGAAAAGGAATTTATATTTATACGAAAGCAAGGCGAGTTACAAAAATTTTGCGGTGCTCAGCGCTTTGACAGGGCGTAACGCGCGCGATTGGCAAAATTAAATGGAATAAGCTAATGAGTGATGATGATAAACTGTTTTTTTTTCTTAAAGCCAAAAAAAAATACAAAATCAGAGCAACGAAAAAAATTGCAAATGATATTATAATATCATTTGAGATAATAATATAATAATATTATTTATATTTTTTTAATATCATTTAAGATTTATGAACAAGCTTTCTAATTGTATTTATCATCTTGTACTTTCATAATTAATATGATTGATTGTTAATGATTAATGATTATTAATGATGTTATCATTAATAATTATGATTGATATGAATGCATTATTAATGATTCATGATTATCAATCATAATATTATCAAAATTGATATCGTTGTTTTTTTAATGATATGAATCGTGATATATTTAAAAATTCTTTTACCTTTTTTGTATACATAAATCTTTTTAATTTCAAAAGTTATATAATAATTCATAGATTATATAAAAATATTTGTGCTATTTCAAACAAATCAAATATACTAATAAAGCACAAAATTGCATGTTATATCTTTTTTTTTAACTAATCTTTAATATTGGCTCTATTTTCGGAGCGAAAGAATAAAAAGAAACTGATATGAACTCGTAATCTTTCATTCAATCTCTTTCTTCTCTTTACGTGTTGGAAACGAAGAAATGGTCTGGTAAAATGGAACATCTTAGATATAGCCCGCTTCTCTCTACTTTAGTGGTTAATGGATCGCGTTACGGTTTTTTTTTTTTTGACGTTGAGCTAAAAAGTTTTTAGGCTATCAAAAACGAAAAATATTCTATTGTATAGAATGCTCAGACCTTCGTATAAACCCTGCGTTCTTTTTTTCCAAACATATGCATGCTTTTCATTGTCGCAATATTTAACTCTGTTTATTACAAAAGACCAGTATAACTCGTAAAAAAATTTGCGTACGCAAAAAATCATATTTGACCGCTGAAAATGTTTTGTTAGGTTTATACTTTATAAGGTACGTGTCGCATAGCACGGGCATGTCATTAAATTATACATATATTGCAGTAGTTCCTTGGATGATTTACAATACTTTGCGGAATTGCATTTCAGCTGTACACATGGAGAAGGATAGTGCTTTTAGAGTGACATTTCGCCGCGCCATATATACAGCTTTGGTCTCGTCGTCGCGAGAAGGCTAACATTGACGAGGAAATAGGTCATTCTCCGTGCGGCGTTCGCGAAAAGAATCTTTAGTGTTTTGCGGAGACTAAATAAAGGTAAACGAGAAGCAAATAAATCAACCGCGAATAATATATCTCTCTCTGTTAAAACTCTTCCCGCGTACGTGTTAGAGAGAGGGGGAAAAAAAAGAGAAATAAAAACCAGTAACGTGCAGCGGGGATCGTTGGAAAGCGCATATTTACGTACACTAATGTGTTTGACAAACACACGACTATACTGAAAAGATAACCACTCCCTCTCGGTATTGCAACATTTTGTTACTGTTTCTGTAAATGTATTCAGGGGAGGTATAATAGCCGATCTTGCCAGCGTATGATTGACCGTTGTATTGGAGATATCTGTGTCAAGATTTAATTAATGCGCCCAACGCGCCAGACGCGCGTGAATTTTTTTTATTTCGCAGTTTTTGTGACGGATAATGTCGAGTGCAACCATATAAACTTTGCGACGGTTTCTATGGATAGGTAAACATGGTGAAAATCCAGGGGAGAGAGACAGAGTGAGAGGAGCGCAGCGAAGCGAATATCGATTAGCTCCGCGTTAAAATGTACTCTCAACGTTATTCGCCAAAACGGGCGCGGTTCTAAATCCGACTTAATTCTCAATAAAAAGCGAAGATTCGATAACCACTCACACGGGCGAATGTAAATTTGGTCTGGTGCGGATATGAAAGTAGGTCGGACAGCGGTTGTTAGCTATTATCTGTTTTTTTTTAAATAAATAAGTAGTTTAAGAATCTTCTTACGAAACCGTGGCTGCATGTTTCGAAACGAAAATCTGCGGGCATTTTTCTTCAAAGATATATATAGATATATATATTTGTTGCACTGTTTAATATATATATATATATATATTAAACAGTGCCTAATGGATATATTGTACCGTCTCTTCCAGACATCGAGAACTACGCAAACACTAATTAACGTCTCCTCTCCTCTTCCCTTTCTCCTCTCCTGATTTCTGATCTATTAGCGTTGAATCTGCAGCTAAGCACTCGCGCTGTCCCCGAATGGATGCAGCGAATTGATACGCTCGCGCGTGAGATCATTCGAGAGCGTTATCGATCTTTCATAGGCAGCACCGCGCCGCCGTCGTATAGCGCGATGTATCAATATCGGCGAAACAGGTACCGGAACTTTCGCGTGAGCACTATGACGATATTAACAAAGTTTCGCGAAGCTGTTCGATTCAGCTCCGAGCACTTGATATCCAAGATATCCGAGGTATATATGTGGTATCGATCCGCGGCTCGCATCATTTCTCGGATCGTTACGATGTCGCGTCATGGGAATCTCGCGAACGAGCGAATCGGCTATTCCCAGACAGATCATTTTTTATTTTTTTTTTTTTTTTAGACTTTCTCCGGACCAATCATTTTGTACACAATATGCACAATCATTCTTTCTCGACGCGCGCACAAACGGTCGCCTGATTGCACGACCCGAACCGAGGGAACCGTTCCTTTTCGGGTGAAAAAATATTCCGATACCAAACTTTTCCCTCTTCGACGTTTCGTAGAAACTTGTTTCCGTCAAAACTTGCAAAGTGCATCGCCAGCTGCTGCAACGAGACTAGAGAGGAGTTTAGTTGCATTAACTTAACTGAATCCGTGAAAAGAGATTTATTGAACAAGGTAGGGAAGAAGAAAAAG